AACAAGCTCAGTGGAAACAAGAAGTTGCCTCCTCGAGTTCTGAACTTAATGTGTATTTGCTTTTGTATTTCAGATGATTTTTGTTACTATGAACCCCCAAGAAATGTGTTAAATCAACAGAAAGTGAAGTACAGGACAACCCCGAATCACTTGTCCTTTTTTGTTGTTGTTGCAACATCCTAAGGGACCAAGCAAACCTTCATTTGTCTTTCTGATGGAAGATTGAGTTTGACTGAAGGCATTCGAGAGACCTGGGCAATGATTTAATAGACTAAAATCCCATAAGGGGGAAAAAAACACTTGGAAACCTGCAGGAAAGCTGTGTGTTTATTTTCATAAATAAGTATTTTATAACAAATGCATGCTGGTGGTTTTACGATACCTTGTAGAAATACAGTCATTGTTGATTGTGGAAAGTTCCTAACGTCAATTAGCCATGTTACCTGAAGGGATTTGACTCTGGCAATTTAGATGACTCTTTTGCTGCTGAGGTTTGATTTTTTGCTCTTATAAAATAACAAAGATTCACGTGCACAAAAAATATGTTACTATACACTCCTTAGTCACGGGATCTAAATCACACATATTTTTGTTATTATAAACCAAGAAGACAAAATGATTGTGCTTAACTGTTGTTTCTCAAACGTGGACAGAAAAACAGAACTGTCTAATTCAGTACAATGGAAGCAGTGAATAAGAATTTTAGCCAAACTCTTTGTAAAATTGTAAATTTATTCCTGTGGATATATGTACACAAAATATGTAGATGTGTGTAACTTATTCTGTTTTTAAAGATAGCTTTGTTTATCATAAAAACTCTGGACCTGTGTTTCTACAAAACCATTTCGTAAAAGAAAATGAGCAATGATTTTTAAGACATACTTAAAATTATCAAATACACAACATGCATACAAACGGTGAAAAAAATCTTTACATAATAAAGTATAATATCCACACCAAACAGAAACAGAAGTACCTTTTAATGTGTTAAATTTCTACATGCTTTAGGTCGAAATGTTTCTATTGTGTTTGTGGAGTAATGACATGAAAAGAACTAGTACATGCGATATTAGCAACACAACATCTTAAACAAGCAATAAACCATCCAAATACATTTTAATTGCATAAAATGTAGATTTACTCAAAAGCAAAACTTTTACATTTTAGAGTGTGCACTAATACAGAAGTAAAAACATAAATTCTCATAATTTGATCAAAATGCAAATAATTTTCCTAACAGAGACACGTTTTCAACATAGTAAATCATATAAAACCAATGAGTTTGATTTAATCTTTTCTTACAACACCAGTAATCACCATCATCACTGTGTATATTATAGCTTTAAGACAGAAAAAAAATTGAAGAAAAAAAGGCTTTCTGCAAAATTCTAAGATTGACTATAAGCATTCTCTCTCTCCACTGCATTTGTGACAGTAACTGAAACACTCAATTAAACTATCTGGTTTGAGCTGATGAAACTATAGAGAATTCATTTGGTCCCATTCACAGATTAAAGCTAAATCATTGTGGGCATAAGTCAGTGGAGCTCCAAGTTACCTCCTGATTTTAAATGCTTCATGGTTATCTAGACCTGATAAAAATCTTTCTTAATTCCCCATCTCCTCCAGGAAGTTATGCCTCATCCAAAATGTATTTTTTCCTTATTAACATAAGGGGACACCCTTTCATTCTCTATCTGTATCACTCAAATGTCACGAGAGAAAACATACAAATTTCATGTGGGGAGGACAAGAGTCAGACTTATCTACATACCAGGACATTTCTTAAAAAGCAAAAACATTATTGCATTTATAAAAATGATATTTAACAACAAAGAACTGTATGCATTTATTATCTTCGAAAACAGACTAACCTTAAAAAATAATAAATTCCATTCCAGGAGGACATTACATTCACGCAAGAGTGTCAAAATGCTTCTGCACTGAACCTAAACATTACATAAGCTAGTGAACCAATAAGCCAGGCTTTCATCCTATCTACAAGGTACCTCGCTAACTGGTACCAAAAAGAATCCTTGTACTTTCATGTAAATCGCACACACATACGCACACACGTTCACAAACAGCATTAACCTTTTTACAGAGGCTGTGTTGGTAAGAAATATTCTTCACTTGAAATACATGGTACTCAAGGCTGATGACAAAGAATTCTGCTCTGTAATTACTTCAGGACAATAAGATACATCAGTCTTGGGTTTTGTTTTATTTTGGTTTTTGATATGACATATCCTATTTTTAAAAGTATCTGTATAACTCCCTAAAATAAATTTTTTATTAAAGTGCTGGTAGCTTCCTTACTTGGAGAAGAATTTCAAATCTCTTAAAAGTCTTAGGGAACTAAGATTCAAAGCACCATGAAATAAATCATTTCTTAGCATTTATTCTCCTGTTTTTACACATTGCTTCTCTCATCTTCACCCAAATGAGCCATATTTTATTAATAACGCTGTGCCTGAGGAGATCTTATTAATGTCTTAAAGTGTGTGAGTGCATCTGTGTATTTGGTATCTATGTCTACATAAAAAGTCATCCTATGACCACAGGGAAAAATAATAAGGAAAAAGTTATCTTATGGGTATATTATCATATTTTATAACTAGAAGTCAATGGGTCCTCAATAGCTGTTTTAACAGAAGCTAAGCTAATATCCTTAGCCTAAAAAAAAATGACTTTATTCAAAATCTTCTTTATTTGCTCTGCAAAACTCCTAATGTTCCAATTTCACTAACAAATCAGTTGTTTACAAGTGTCTTAAAATCCAGTTAAGTTTAACAAAGTAGTTTCATAAAATTAAAACTATGAAATCTATGTATTTAGCCTCACAGAGAATTAATGTCCCAAAGTCTAACATTGGTTATTACATAAAGGCAACATGAGGTTTTCATAACCTCCGCTCTCTAGAAAATGGCACACAAAGCTCGTGCAGAGCTCTCCCCTCCACTCACAGAAATGGGCCCAGATCCAACAGGAAGTTGCACCTAATGTGAGGAGCTAGTCTGCCAAGGAGACCGCCATTTCCCAAAGAGAAAACTGCCATATTTGCAAGGTAAATGAATATTCAGCAGCTATGTTAAAGTTGTCTTCAAAGTGATGACTGGGAAAGATTTCTTTCTTGGTTACATGGCATGTTTCTTTTTGTTAGTAATACATGGGTGCCAAATGTTTTATAGTGATTACCTGTTACTCATCTCCTGCAGGTAGGTCACAGTTACACCTTGACAACAGGTGGTAACATAGACACACACGAGAGAAGACTATGTTCCCAGTTTTTAAATTTTTTGCTACAGTTATTGTGGTCTATTACCTTCTTGAAGTATGTTTAAAATATCAATGTTGTTTTCATATAAAATATCAATGTTGTGCTTCATTAAAATGATTCTGAGGAGTTCCCTAAAACCTAAGCTTCATAGTATTGTATAGAAAAGGATAGAAAAAAAAATGGGAGAAACATCTTTATTAAAGAAAGACAGGAGAAAGAAAGAGAAACTCTTTATTGAAGAAAGAAAAGAGAAAGAATCACCTTGGTAATTAGAATTTCTTACACTGAATCCCTTATTTTTATAAGCTATTTAAAATCATGAACCTTAGACCCAGGAAAAGTGTGAATTTGATATTAAAAGACCAGTCATTCTATTTCCCTAACAATACAAGACTGTTGCTTGTAGTGCTTTGAATGGTCCCATTTGAAAAAGTAAGCCTATTAATAGAAAATACAATCTAGATTTTACACCAGAAATAGAGTACCCCATTTATAATTCATTCTCCTAGATTACTATATCCTTGTAGAGTTATCACTTTCAAATACTGTTGCATTATAATTTCTGTTTATACTTCCTATTTGTGAAAAATACTAAAATAGCTCCTAGGCTTAGGAAAAAAAAATACATCTATTTTCTGAAGTATTATTAAGTGTCTTATATGTATTAACTACCAACTATTTTAATTCTAAATCATTGGTGATGAAAGCCGGAGGGGGGAAATCTTTTAAATTTAAGATTCACAATGAGTTCCGTGAAAGCACTAGACATTCAATTTTCAAATTTACAGCTTCTACATAATTAAAAATATATTCTTTAATATGATAAAAATATATTACTTCTATGTTTAAGAAAGAATAGCATCATCTCTTAGAATCAAAAAAACTAATGTAATTACATTTTTCCCCATACACACCTCACGAGGCAACTAAAATTTACTCACTCCACAAAGTTGCAGTCAGGAACTGGTTCATTATGACAATTCTGAAAGTTTTTCAACCATTTCTTTCTATCAGATGGCTTCTAATTATACGGAAAGACATTTGCAAAAAAACTCTAAATATATCCAACTAGAAAAATTAGATACTTGCTGACAAATACCTCAAGAGAGTCTTAATAGAAATAAGGCTAAAAGCAAGTGAAATTGAGGGGTCACAAACTCTTCATAGAACCTACTCTTTGTTTCCTATTAGACTGTCTTATTTTTGTTAGATGGAAGAAAGGAAGAAAGGAAGGGATGGCGGGTGGGAGGAGGAGGGAAGGAGGGAGACAAGAAGCAAGGGAGGGAGGCAAGAAGAAATGATTTGGACAGAATTCAATCTTTGCAATAACCAATATGGGGTTTTCTAATATAATAAGATGAGGGAGAAGAGAAGGAAAGTATGAGTAAGTGTTGACTGGATCAGTGAAAATCACAGGATTTCCAAGATTTGCAAAGCCCTGGGCAACTGGGTATTCCTCTAGGATTCCTTTCTGAATGCCAGCCACCGCAGCCACAAGCATTAAAGCCTGAGAGCACTTCAGAGAGGACACGCCCAGGCTAATCACTAACAACCTGATGAATGCTCCCTCCTACCAAAATGAATACCCTGCATTGTCTTTTTAGTTCATTTAAGGTATATTTTGGCTAAGGAGGAAGAAAGAAAGACATGTTATCATGTCATGGAAACATGTCACTCTGCTGCCATCCCCAAATTACCTCTGAAATTAAATTACAATTTCTTCATTCAAGAATTTATTGCTTTAAGAAAATAGTACAAGCTTTCCTATTATACCAATTCTTTAAAATTCTATGCCTTCTTAGATAAGTGCTGTAGAGTAAGCTGCCATCTAATAATCTCACTTCTAAATTTATAATAAAGTATACAGTAAGAGTGATCCTATTTTTTTTTTGATCCTTTACAAAGACAAGTGGCCAATTGTCTTCCAGTAGAAATTCTCCTCTGTCTCTCTTATTTAATCTCTCTATATGACTTCCAAAAACACATGCCATTAAAATAAGTTATTCTCCTTTAGTAGCTATTAACAGTTAACGGAGTCTTTCCATTAGGCTTCTAATGTTAAAATCCAATAGGTAGTATTCAAACGTAGTATCACATTATGTTTAACAATAACTATGTGCTTATCATTCAAGTATTACCACCCTTAAGTTATCTAACAATCCATATATTCTCTTTTTAAAAATCATCTATGCCACGACAGCATAGTCCTTATTTTGTTCACTGTTTTCATTTTCTTGTGGACTAGTAATTTTTACTTCTGGCCTTGGTGGTCTTTGAGGGTCTAATTCAGCCTGGAAGAGAAGAGATTAAAACAAAGATATTTAGTTCTTTGGCTTACAAAGGTAATAAAATTTACAAAGAAACAAAATTACTCAATATTCTATTTAATCACATAAATATTCAAATAAAAACAGTTGTGTTCCCTTTGTTTTTTCATATATCATTACCCAGCAGATCATTCTCAACACCTTACTTTCAGAAGCCCTTTTGGGGACCATAATCCACTCTGTGCTTTAAAAGCACAGACTCATTTCATATGCCGCGAGTTTTATTGCTCTCATTTTTTTATTTCCCTTTGAGCTTTTCTTTTCAATAACATATTTATACTTTTTAGTTTTGCATTTTCAGAGACACAGGAAGAGAAAAATGCAGCCATTCTACACTCATGCCGCATTAATCCAGTCCCTTACCTGACACTGTCCTAATTTTAGTTTTCTCCTGGAATTCACAAATTCATTCCGAATATGGTACTGAGCACCATCAAATAGCAAATAGGTAAGAGCAGGACAGACGGTCAAAAGTGGAGGTAGCGTTTTTCCAACAGTAGCTATCATTTCTCCCACTTGGAGTTCTCATGTGTTATTAATGACATTATCTCATTCACAACTTGTCTTTCCCCTCCTAGACTGAAAATTGAAGGGGGAAGGTCAATTTGCGAACTCTGTTCCATGAAATCTTGGAGGCTCCCCACAAGGGCCACCAGACTGGAAGACAACAGCAGCTCCAGTTGCCCCGCATGCCCCAAATTATGCTCTAAAAAAGAAAAAAATAAATACTGGAGCTACGTCTTATACATTGTTACCTTGTGAAATGTCTCCAATAGTGTCTTGCATATAGTACAAGCTCAATCTCAATAAATGTCAATTGCTTACTATGTTATCTGTCTGTATTCCCTACTGTTCTCCTACAATCACATCTCACTTTGCAGAACTGTCACGTGAAACAAAACGCTACCTGGTAAACTGAATTTTTATTTGTTTTGTCAGTAAAAATCTTTCCATGAAACTTATAATTCATACAACTTTTGTTTTTTGCATATTTGGTAGGCTTAAAGAATATCTATACTGATACATTAGGGAGAATGGAGATAAAATATAGCATCATTATAAGAAAGAGATGAATCAAATGAGATTAAAGTAAAATCAAATCTCTTTGTGAGGAACTGCTCTGTCTCAGGCATTTGTATAGTCCTTAAAATCTCTAACCAGTCAAAAATCAGTACTTGCTCATCTGAGTTCCCAAGAATTGGGATTCACCCTTAATACATACCACAGACCCCTGTGCCTTAGCCTCTTGTATTTTTTTTTTCCTCTTGTAAAATTATATACTCTTGATATTGACAGATGTCCATTTCCTATCAAAAGCCTATATAGTTTCCTTTCCTAAAATATTTCATTTATTTATTTGGCAAATAAAAATTGTATATGTTCATGGTGTAAAACATGATGTTTTGAAATATGTATACATTGCAGAATGGCCAAATCCAGCTAATGAACATATATATTACCTCACACTTTTCTCATCTGTGACAAAAACACTTAAGATCTACTCTCCTAGCAATTTATAAGAATATAGTACATTGTCATTAACTACAGTCACCATGGTCAATGGATCTCTTGTATTTATTCCTTACATCTAAATGAAATTTTGTATCCTTTGACCAACATCTTGCCCACCTTGCCCCAGCCCCTAGAGGCTGCCATTCTACTTGCTGCTTCTATGAGTTCAACTCTCTCAGATTTCACATGTAAGAGAGAACACCAAGAGGTATCTGTCTTTCTGTGTCCGGCTTGCTTCACATAACATAATGTACTACAGGCTCAGCTACATTGTCACAAAAACAGGATTATTTTTAAAAGATATATTTATGAAAGAGGGAAGGACAGGCAATCCATTCATTTCTATAAAATCTATTTAGGTCATATATTCAGTTAAGGTAGACCACTGGAAAAACTTGACCTTGGATCTTACTCTCTAGTCCCACATACAATTACACTTTGATTTCTTCCTATAAGCTTTCATCAAAGGCTCCTCCAACAAACATTTTCTGAAACCTACTATTGCAGTTGCCATACAAATGACACCGAGGACTGTGTAGAACTACATATGGGGGATTTCTTATAAAAGAGGGCTGTGATTATCTCACCTTGAGAAAAGATGCAATGGGGGACATGCTGATGCTTTCATTTAGATGTTAAGCATGTTTTATATAAGCCACAAGATAACTTTGTATTGTTACTGAAACCTGGCCACAAGGACATTTTTCATTTTGCCATCACTAAACTTGCTCTCCCTAAGCAAGATAAAACAGATGAGTCAATAATAAATAATCAAGAAGACCCCATTCATCAAAGTGGGCATCGGGAATACACAGACCAAGGCCCAGTGCAGAGGTACAGCCCGGAGGGAGGTGGACCTTGGTCTGTGAGGTAGACAGGAAGGGAGGGGATAACAGATGGTGAGAACGTGAGGAACACGTCCTGCCTTTCGTGCTCCAAGACTCAACTTAAGCTTAATAGCAACCCGGTCATATTCATCAGCCTGGAAACTAACCTATTTTATGAAACATCTGACCCACCCCAGGGCCAGAGGTGAGAGAATGGGCTAGGAAGAGAGGCTTCCCTATGTAATTCTTGTTTTGTTCTTACCATATATTTCTTTATCCTCTCTATATGATAAATAGAACTATATTTTATCAAGTGTCTGACATGTTGAATGCTTAATTCAATTAATCCATTTAAGGTAGACGAAACAAACCAAACTTTCATACTTCTAGAGAACAAAGCCATCACCCATAATAGGATGGTGTTCCTCAGCTTGCGTCTAGGTCTCACTGGTCTTGATACTTTTTTCTGGTTTGTGTCTCCTCTTGTCTTATTTTTTATATTTCTTTCTTTTATCGTGCATGTTCTTAGAGGATTTTGTAAAGTTTTTGTAGAAGGAGGTAGGAAATGGAAAGGGGGATGGATGAATGAACAAATGTGTGTGTGGATGGCAGAAGGACAGACATATGGACTAATCAGATAGGTAGATGGCAGTACTTGTTAACTAATTAAAATAAGCAGTAATAAAATTATTTAAATGGATTGGATCTCTCCTACTCAATGTAAGTAGTTTTGGTACGAGTTCTAAGTGCTTAACTAATTCTCTGGATGTGTGCATACACCTAATACACACGCACCCATGCACACACACACATACACACATGCACACACACACAAAATTCATTCATGCACATGAGTAAGCAAAGCAATAGAAGTACCTCCTCTTGTCCGCTGCCAGCTCCTTGAGACTCTCTTTCCTCCTCCACTGCTGGCTGAAGCTCATTATCAGCCTGGTCCAGTTCCTCACCATTTTCTTCATCGGTGCCCACATTCACGCGAGCAGGAGCTGCCTGCTCCCCACTGGGATCCAGTGTCTGCACGGCTTGCTCAGGGGCAGCTGGAGCCTCCTTACCTCCTTCATCTTCAATGTCACCATTCATTCCTGAAAAGCCATCTTTCTGTTCTGTGTCCTTGTGTGTCTTCTCTCCATCTTCTTCCTCATCTACCATCTCTGCAGGCCTCTGGCGGACCAAAAAGAATTGTATATGAGGGTCTGAAGTATAACAGAGGCTTTGCACTGCACATCACAGTAATGACGATTATTAGACTCAATCGAGTAAGATGTCCTTATGTTTGCATAGTAGTTTACAGTATATAATGTAGTTATGTTTACTGAGTACCTACCATATGCTACTTTAGTTTCAAAATATTAAGGGGTAAAAATGATTTCGGTTACATGGATCATTTTCCTAATGCTCAAGTCCCGCATCTGTGATGTGGCAGATGTGCTAAACATCAGGGTCTTTGGCTACTGTCTTGTGAAGTATGTGGACCAGAAGAGGAGATTAAAAAAAAGTTCTTCATGGAGAGATGATCATTCTCAGTGCTAAGGGTCAAGGGCAATGTCACTGGGATGTGAACTCAGGTTTTCTGACATAGAATGCAGACAGAGCTTTTGCACAAGAGTTGACAGCTTATCTCTGAATACAAAAATCAATTGTCATGTAGGTGGAGGGTGAAGAAACTATATGTCTACTCCATAAAAATGATAAATGCTAAAGTATTTTATAAACGCTAATTAAGCATTTTACTGTTATTAGATAAAATAAGTCTGCTTTAAAGACGAACAGGAGACTGAGTTCAGAACCAAGACTTTGGAGACAGACACAGGTTCAAGTCCCAGCCAGGTTCTTACTGCCTACTCTCTAATGTCTGTGAGTTTCAGATTCCCCAGGTGGAAAATGAGAATATAATAAGACTTCCATGAGGATTAAATGAGTAATGTCATACAGACCGCCAAGCACAGCACCTGGCACATCACAGATGCTATAGCTGGGACTGGAGCGTTACGAAAATGATCCACGTAACCTAAAACATTTGTACCCCTTAATATTTTGAAACTAAATTAATAATAATAAAGTAAAGCTAAAAAAAATATAAAAGTACATGTGGATCGATTTAGTTCAATTCTGGAATGCAGAGTGCTCAGGCTTTGATGACTGCAATTTTGACATCACAAGGCCTTGACTAAGTTTCTACCAGTTTTTAACTAAAATTCTAATCTCCTAACGTAGAGGTAGGCAATTAGCACTAGTCAGAACAAACAGATCATCTCCCAAACATTTGATTTATTAAAATGTCCCAAAAGAAAACAAAAATTAAAAAGCTAAAGTCCCAAACTGAATTATACAATACCAAAGATGCACTTTAAAAATGAAGGGAAAAAACTAGTTGTTCTTTAGGTATTGCAAAACCTGAAATGCTTGTCATCATGTAGATTGAATAACACAGAGAAGCTGAGTTGTTCAAATTTTCACTCAGATGCTTAAATCAAATAGTGAAGAGTCCTAGCTAGTTCTAAGCCTGTCGCACAGAATGAGGCCCATAGGAGGGCAGAATGCTAGACAGAAACTCAGGGTGGAAGAGGGATGGATCTTCCAGATGGTGCTTCTAAAAAAGGCAAAAGATTTATAAAATATAACCCACAATATTTGGTAAGAATTTCTGGTTTTTAATATATGAGACCCAAATGACTGAAAGCAGGAAAACTCTCAAGGAGAGAATAATGTTTTCTTTCCCATCTCCCCACCAGACCCTGTCTCACCCTCTCTCCAAAGAGAATAAGCACAGCTGGGCACTGAGGCACACACTTAAAGCGATAAGGGGAGGTGAGTTTGGCAAAAGAGGGGCATCACGAAAACAGAGCAGAGGATGACAAATTAGCTGCATTTCTATAAGCTAACAATGAACAAATCTGAAAAGGAAATTATAAAAATAATTTCATTTACAAAAAAATAAAATACTTAGGTATTAACTTAACCAAGGAGGTGAAAGATATGTACAGTGAAAACTACAAAACACTGCTGAAAGAAATTAAAGAAAACACAATGGAAACACGGCCCATGTTCATGAATTTGAATCCTCAATATTGTCAAGATGTTGTACTACCCAAAGTGATCTACAGATCCAATACAATCCCTATCAAATTCCCAATGATTTTTTTTCCACAGAAATAGAAAAACCCATCCCAAAATTCATATGGAATCTTAAGCATCTCTGAATGGCCAAAATATTTGGGAAAAGGAGAACAAAGCTAGAAGATTTGCTGATCTTGATTTCAAAACTTACTACAGAGCTATAGTAATAAAAATAAGTACAGTACTGGCATGAACACAGACATATAGATCGATGCAGTAAAACAGAGGTTCTAGAGATAAACTCTCACTTATATGGACAAGTGTGCCAAGACCATTTCATAGAGAAACAACAGTCTTCTCAACAAATGGTGCAAGCAAAGCTTTATACCCCCATGCAAAAAAATGAAGTTAGACCCTTACCAAACACTACTGACAAAAATTAACTCAAAATGAATCAAAGGCCTAAATGTAAGAACTAAAACTATAAAACTGAAACTATAAAGAGAAGAAAACTCTGAGAAGGACAAAAGCTTTATAACATTGGATTTGGTATTGGTTTCTTGGGTATGACACTAAAAACACAAGGAACAAAAGAAAAAATTTTAAATTCTGTGCATCAAAATATATTTTCAACAGAACAGAATGAAAAGCCAACCCACAGAATAGGAGAAAATATTTGCAAACTGTATACCTTAAGGGATTTCTATCTAGAATATATAGAGAACTCCTAAAACTCAACAACAATAACAAAACAACCTGATTCAAAAATGGGCAAAGGACTTGAACAGACATTTCTGCAAAGAAGATACACAAATGGCCATGGAAATATGCTTAACACCACTAATGGTTAGGGAAATGCAAATCAAAGCTACAAGGAGATACTACCTTCCACCCATTAGAATGGCTAGTAATAAAAAACAAAATAAGAAGAAAAGAACTACTATTGATAAGAGTATGAAGACACTGGAACACTCATTCACTATTGGTGGGAATGTACAGAAGACTGGAAAACAGTACGGTAGCTGCTCAAAGCAACAAAACAGAATTACAATATGATCCAGCAGTTCCACTTCTGAGTACGTACCCAAAAGAATTGAAATCAGGGTCTTGAAAAGATATTTTTACACTCAAGTTCATAGCAGTATTATTCATAATAAGTAAAATGTGGATGCAACTCAAGTAAAATGTGGTTTATGCCTACAATACCATGGAATATTATTCACCCTTAACAAAAGAAGAACATCCTTAAACATGCTACAAAACAGATGAACTTAGAGGACATTATGCTAAGTGAAATAAGCCGCGCACGAAAAAAGATAAAAACTGTCTGATTCCACTTACGTGAGGTCTACAGAATAGCCAAAATCATAGAGACAGGAAGCACAATGGTGGTTGCTAGCTGGGCGAGGGGGAACCATGGATATATAGTTTCGGTATTGCCAGACAAAAAGAGTTATGGAGCTGGGTGGTGGTTGTGGCTATACAACATTACAAACGTATTTAGTATCACTGAAGTGTATGGACAGAAAAATGGGTAAGATGGTAAATTTTACATTATGTGTATTTTACTACCAAAAGAAGCAAAACAAAACAAAACAGAGCAGAGGAAATGTCCTGAGCCAAAGATTACAAGTCTGCGTCACTGAAGAGCAAGGGCTTCTGGAGGGCGCAGGAAAGGAGCCTGTGCCGGGAAGTGGTGGGGCCTGCTCTAAGATGCTAAGACTCGGAGGGGATTTCAGAGGGGCGGATAGAATAAAAACCAACTCAGAGTAAGCACTGTGGATAGCTCCCCACTAACATGTCAGAAGATGTAAGGGAAAGGCCTTATCATCTCCGCCTTTCCTGGGGACTCTGCAGGATCTGGGGGAGATAATCACTGTGGGACCCTGGGAGAACTCTGAGGGACTCTGAGTTACTGTGCTTCAGCCACTAAGCCTAGGGCACCTGTCTGTGTTAAGAAGTACTCTGGGTGCCAGGCATTCAGACAAACGCTGGAACAATGAGTGCAGAGCACAGTGTCAGCTGCTGCCAGACCTCACGGGCTCAGCACTCACACACTCGTCATTTCAGCAACCCTCATAGCAGCTCCCTGGAACGCCTTTTTTATACTCATTACCCAAATAGGGTTAATAGGAAATCAGACACTTCCAATGTCACATGGCAGATGACAAGTAGGGCCAGGGTGTGAACCAAAGGAGGTCTTGTCCCAAAGTCCTGGTGTCTTTCCTTGAGCAAATAACGCAAGAAATTTCTGCTTCACTGATGTGCTATTGTAGGGACACTTCCAATGGCCAGAAAATGTGAACTCTGCAGTAGACAACGTTACTTCTACCATTTAAAGAATTACTGATCTGAAAACAAAATCTTTCTGAATTTCTATCAGAGACTTTTCATGTGAGCTAGGGAGGGGACATTATAGGGACTGTCAAGCAGAGTACCCCAAACAGTACATAATATACAATTCGCCCTACAGTTACCATACACAGGAAAAATGGAAAATTATACCTCATGTACCTTTATTTACAAAATATTCATTACAAAATTTAACAAAGAGATGATCAACACATATTCCAGACATAACCAAGCACCAGAAATACTACCACACTAATGGGCAACAGGAGTAGATTTCTTTTCAAATTATGTCTGGAAATTGGATAATTATAAAGCATCCTCATAGAAATTGCTTTGATGCTCACTGAGCCTAAACTTGCCCTATTTCATAGCAACCTTCTTTCGGGCTCTAAAGAGAAGTTACCTAGCACTTCTTGATTTAAAAAGTAATAATAACAGTAAAAAACCTTTATCCTACAATTGTTTAGAAATCTTATATGCTCCCTGCCTCTCTGAAACTATATTATAATTGCTTCCTAAAGTCTAGTAAGGCAATTACTTCTAAGTGGGAAAAGTCTATTTTTTCCTTTGACATCTAGATTTACACGTAAAAACTGTAACATGATAACGTGGGCTTTTTTTAATTTTTAGTTTTGTATTTCTTAGTCTTATCTATTTCTTTATCCCAATTCCCAAACACATATACATTTTGTTCTCCTTTTAACGCAAAGGGCTGGTATGTGTGTATGCGCTAATCTCTTTTTTAAAAAGGA